ACAACGATTACAGCCGCCAATGTCAAAGTAAAAAATGCTGCAATGCCTCCTACATCGGGCCGTAGTTGATTTATAAATAAGTTTAACTATTATTTTTACTGTTTAAAAGTGTTTTATTTAAAATATTTGCAGTTTAAATTCGATAACGAGATACAAAAAGACAAGGCGAGTGTTGTTCATTTCGTGGTGTCTACGCTCAAATGCGGCTTTTGTCCACTATCGACAGTATTTTCCGAACGACCGCCAGCGTTGGCCGACGCAGCTTAGCGGAAAATGGACTCTAATTCACTACCGAATCTAAACCTATATTTGCTGGAACCCCATTTTTTCTATACTAATAAAGATTTTCATCCAAAAAACTCGCTCAAACAATTTTACGGATTCATAGTAAACCCCTGCTTTTTATGATTTATTCAGCATTTTTATTCAATTTGTATACTAATGCAAAAAAAATCTATTTATATTTATTATTAATATTCTAAAATTATCATTTAGGGAAACGGCAGTCTTGTCTGTTAGGGTTAAAATTTAAAGTCTCAATGCAGTTCTGTTTTATCTACAACGCTACAATGTTAGCCTTTTTACAGTCAATGGTTTAACGCATAGCCTAGTGTTTTATTGCAAATATGTACACTGAGAATTCAATGTGCTTGTCGCTTAGATGGTGATTGAATTCAACTATTGGAAAAGGAGTTAATATTCACTAGAAACCAACTATAGAATAAAAACCACACGATTTTTACTAGACTGTTAAAACATTTTATTTTATCCTATAACATCGCACGGGCAAATATCTTCCCCCATCAGACAACAGACAGTTGTGCCATAACCGTCCAAAGTATTTATATTTATCTTTTCCCCGGGATACAACCTAGGACCTCTCGTCCTTAACGCAATTCTTGACAACGCGTTCAATTATTGCGCTACGGGTGTGGCATTTTTTTACGTTCAGGCTAAATAAGGCTAGAATATTCTATAACACGTACTTACCTAAACGGCATGATTTATAAAGCCTGTTAATAGAAGTATTACCAACTCTCAGACACAATTAAATTAAGAGCGACAAATTATATCCCAACAAACACTAGCTCAAAGAAAAATTGATAAATTGCGGCCAAATACCTTCCAATTCACCAAATTAATGCAGAAACTTTTCACATAAAGCAAGCTTCTATCGAAATCGTTTCAATTTCGTAATTACGCCGTGAGATTACCTCCGTAATTCCAATAATAAAATTCGAGGGAAAGATTTAACTGCTCATTTTATGGGCAGCCGTTTCGTGGTAAACGGCATCGGACTCTGGCGCCCTGGGTTTCTACCAATTTTCCAACATTATCATCGTATTGAATTTTAGACAGTAATTTTTCACTTGAGTAATTAAAATTACGAACCACAATTATCCACCTCTAAATGTATAAAAAATAAATATCTTTTACATCAGAAGTTCTAGAAAAGGGTCTAAGGTCATAAAAGACTGCTTTAATGTGTACCTACTTTAGTTACAAGTTAAACGAACGTGTCAAATAGGTACAAAAGTTATAATTAACACACATAACATTATTTGTGAGATAGTTTTCGTCTAGAATATCTTTAATAATATTATAACAATATAAAAGCTCTTCTGAGAGCTAAAATCTGCACCTGGGTAATCGTGTTTTTCATAAAATTCAAGGAATTTAGGACACTGGGTGCCTGGAAGCATCTATTACAAATTTGAATTTCCAATAAGACGCAAGGAGAGAAATCTTCCATTTTCAGTTATCCATCGCTTAACTAGAATCAAGATTTATACATATATTCATATAAAGATATTTGTTATATTTCTACATACATAAAGTGAAATCCCGTTTCCACCTCGCGGGGTATGGGGCGGACACATTGTTCTGTCCGTTTCACTGATCCGTTCTTTAACAAGCAAATAGTTAATCAGACTTCTGTGCCCTGCCCGACCGAAACAATTTTCGTTTCCCTGGGATTCAAACCCAGGACCTCCCGGAAACTCTAGTCTCAGGTAGTTCAATGATATTACTTAACCTTAAGTTACATAATATGTACCGTGTGAAGACAACTATACATATGATCTCACAAGTTTGGATACCTACCTATCTACTACAAAGACAACTCATTTATATTCTTCTTAAATTTAAATAAAACACTTTAACGGTTTAAAACGCGATATATTAGTTAAACATATTTGAAAATGAGTTTTAACTTCGGCCCAAATAAGTTTAACTATTATATCGCGTTTTAAACCGTTAAAGTGTTTTATTTAAATGTGTACTACTCGCGTAAACTATAGACAATCCTTCTTAAATGTTATTATTACGAAATGTTCAAAAGCTTCAACACCGCGTTACTTATTATAAACAAGTGCCATTGAAACAAAACTAAAACAAAGAGTAATTGAAAAACTCATCAAAGTGAGTACATTAATCAGCTAAGTAGACGTGCATTTAACTTTAGACGTTTATATTATAAGTTTCCAACTATATCATTAATAAACTTCGGCTATTCAGACTATGAATATAACAATTATGTATATAGAGAGTAGGGGCTTAACATACTACAGTTTCTATACTAATATATAAAGCGGAAGAGTTTGTTTGTTTGAACGCGCTAATCTCAGGAACTACAGGTTCGAATTTAAAAATTCTTGTGTGACTAACACAGCTAGCTACTACTAGTAGTTATTGAATAAAAGTTATATGAACTATTCTAACACAAATAAATTAGTTTGAATTCTGTCAGTAGTTTACGTGAGTAGGACACTATCGAATAAAACACTTTAACGGTTTAATGCGAGAAATACATCCGAAACGTCGGGGCGTGATTAAAATAACTCATATATTTCGCGTTTTTAATAACCGTTAAATTGCTTTATTTAAGTGTGTCAATGTTATGATCATCGGTTCTTGTTCGATAATAATATACCTGACAGGGTAACTGGTGGAGAACAACGCAAGTATATGATCCACCATAACACTAAGGCAACATCGAAGAATGGCATTATTTTATTTAAGTCTTAATCGCTGATCTCTTATACCTTAATTCAATTTTATGCTAGGCTACGCAGGTGCTACAAAGTAAAGCGGACTCTGTTTTGCACTTCTGCTTTTAACTACGTAAATTACATTAAACTAAAATTGCATACTAATTTACATTTTTATCTACTTACATCAGTAATTTCTCTAATTCATTATTTTACAAACTAGATGACCTAGCAAAGATCCAATTGCCATATTAAATATTTCGATCAAATTTGTTTACCACTAAACCGGTGCTAGTGAGGTAATCTTAAAAGATAAACATATACCGTCGCGGACCTTTTTATAGATTATTTGAAGAAGAATAATTATTTTATATTATTTAGATATCTCGAACCGTTTTTGCATTTTATACAATGGAAACCCTCGCAGATTAATAATTTTCCCCGTCTCCCCCTTTATCTTCGCTCTTATTGGTCGCAGCCTGGTGTTATAAAGCCTAAAACCATTGTCGACTAATCGTCTAACCAACACAAAGCAATATTTATTTAAAACGAACCAGTAGTTCCTGGAATTAGCGCGTTCAAACAAACAAACTCTTAAGCTTTATAATATTAGTATAGACTTCAAATTGACAATAAGAAAAAGTTGTAAACCTCAAAAATATAGTAAAATTGTTATTTTTCTTCTAATGAAACTATCTGCGAGATCAAATTATAATCTGTTACATTTAATAAATAATAATATACCGTGTTTGTGTAAATAAAGATCGCAGTGACATTTCCGGGAAGAATTAAATATATATACATTTGTTTTCGAAATCCTTATAGCGTAGTTTGCATAATTTTAATTACACTAAAAGGACTTGCGTGATCATAATAATATTTAGTGTGCAACATTTTCCATATTTCGGAGGAAATAAAGTAAAATTATATTAAGGTGGGTTGGACTCGCACTGCACGTAAATCAGGACACGTACACGCAATTAATATGCTAATTAATAAAAATCCTCTTCCATGGATTATTTTGTTACATTTTGGTGTATTTTTCTTGATTAACACAAACCTATAAACAAACAGTATATAGTATAAGACCTGTTAGTTACACTATGATGTATAGATAAAAAACGACTTAACCGATTTCGCTGAATAGTGATGGAAGATAACAGAACCAAAATAAGGGATATATTTTTCCGACCGAGTTCTCGTGTGCAGGATATGTGCCCCATACTTATAACCATTTTTGATCGGATTACACCTATTAAATACTATGATATTACACCTACTAAATAATAAAGAATAATTAAAATACTAAATAAAAAATATGATAATAAAATTGAACTAAACGAAATTATAAATCTGCTTATTAGGTACCTTAAAGGCAGAACAAAGTAAGCTATTGATATTTTCATGTAGGTAAATTAACGTTTATATAATTATTTAATGTTTAATATACATTCATAATCTACTTGTTTTCTTGTATTTATTTTACAATTATTTTTGTAGAAAAGGTACTTAATTCGTCATCATAACATCACGTATAACTTTAAATATTTACAAATCTTGAGTTAGAAAATAAAACTTTAAGTATAACATTTCTTCAAGGCTATTGTATGTGAGTTGATTGATTATCCCGCCATCTATAACTACACTATGCAACTAAAATAAGCGTGTTAACAGATAAAGGACGAAAAGTTGCCATTACATTATAAGAATATATGAAATAGTTCAAGTCACCTTAATGATAATATTTTAACACCTTTTCTTAATGTTTTATAAATTTTACAAAAGAATTATATTTTCTGTATGATTTTATGAGTCTTAATTTTTTTGTATCTATCAATAATTGAATCTGGCAACATTGAATTAAAGTGAGCCATCGCCCTGCTAACGGTGTCATGGCGGTTTGACTTGTTGAAGGTTTTTTTTGCATAAACTTGCAAGTTTAATGTGCTTTTATTTTGTTTAATCTTTAATTTCCGTGCATTAATATCACACAACACAAAATAGTTAATAATGCGTGAATACAAAATAGTTGTATTAGGTAGCGGGGGCGTGGGAAAATCCGCCCTGACAGTACAATTTGTACAAGGCATCTTTGTGGAGAAATACGACCCCACCATCGAGGACAGCTATCGAAAACAAGTGGAAGTAGACGGACAACAATGTATGCTCGAAATCCTTGACACTGCCGGTACAGAGCAATTTACAGCGATGAGAGATTTGTATATGAAGAACGGACAAGGTTTCGTGTTAGTGTATTCGATAACCGCACAATCGACGTTCAACGATCTGCAGGACTTACGAGAGCAGATATTGCGAGTGAAAGACACGAACGATGTGCCGATGGTGTTGGTTGGCAACAAGTGCGATCTGGACGCGGAACGTGTGGTCGGGAAGCAGCAAGGTGCCAACCTTGCGAACCATTTCAATTGCGTCTTCATGGAGACCTCCGCGAAGGCGAAAATCAGTGTGAACGAAGTGTTCTACGACCTAGTGCGACAAATCAACAAAAAGTCTCCCAAAGAGGAAAACAAAAAGAGAAACAAAAAGCCCATATGTCGTCTGCTGTAAGGCTGCGACGTACCCAACCCACTTAGGTATTAAATATTTAATAATTTGAAAGACTTCTATTACCCGGATTTGGCTCTCGTTGGTTCCAAAAGTTACTAGATGGGGTGAGCATGGTTGGTAATTAATACCTTGCATTTCTAGAATGTGCATTTGTTAAGCTGATGTATTGTGATCCAGTGCTTTAGGGTGGAACGTGCACAGATGTCGCAGTCTTTACAAATAGTTCCCGAGCTTCGTAAATGTTATAAAGTTTGGCCTGTGTATCATATAGTTATTCAAATACATTTTAGAAGTCTGTGTGCATTTCACTCTTTATAAATTCCAAGTAACCATTAACGCTAAGTTCAGAAGTTTCTCAGTTATTATTGATCCACAATTTTAAATCAGTTTGCTAGGCAAAATTGTGCATACTAAAGTTGTTATACAGCTTATTTAGGTACAATATTATTCAACTGTAAAAACTTAAGTCCAATAATGAACAACAGGAAAATTTTAAAATTCATATGTATAGAGGAATTTAATTATACTTCCTTAAATTAGTTTGTATCTCGTTCTTTAGTATAATATGTAAACCTATGACGAGTGATTGGAATTTTTTTTTTATGTAGTGTACAAAATGAATGTCTCTTACATTATTTTATATAGTCAGGATCTTTTTTTTTAGTATAGGTAACTGCTTACAACCTAAACTTCTGAACTTCAAATAAGGAGTTTAATAGGCTCTAAAGATGCCTAACTCATGCCGTTGGGCCTGAATCTATGTAAAATGTTTATTGAATAAGAATACATTGAATTTTTCAGATATATTATTGTCTTGTTATATTCTACGAATGTATCGATAGAAAGTTGATGCAACGCCATTTGGATCTATACACAGGGATAACTCATGAAGGCATTTCTTGTTTGGACATGTTGATGGTCAATTTCGAAACTGTATTTACAGTTGTATTTGATATTGTGAGATTTTATTGAATTATTGTCCCATAAATGTTTATTTTACAACAAACAAGTATTACAACATTTGTGTTTATTATGATTTTTAGTAACCAGCAGGAATGCTTTCATTAAATAAATAAAAAACCCTGTGTATAGAACAAATATTAGTAAGCCTTAGGTGATTGCACCCCGTGTAGTGTGTCCAGTGTCTATCATTTCCATAGGCACTTGCCAGACTGTATTCCTTTATATAAAGTAAAAAATCTAAAAAATATCGTTATTGTAAATTGGATAAATTTTTATGATTACTGGCTCATTTAAATGTAAATTACTGACATATTATGTGTTGCTACTACTAAAAACTTTGTTAAAGTAATAATTATAAATAGGTGTTCAAATATTGTTATGGGATTAGATGTTTCCTCCATTCTAATTTCTGTTAATGTAAGAATAACTGCACAAGGATATTGGTAAATGACTTGATCTGAGTTGAATTATATTTTTATATATATCGTGCAAATTTATTAACTTGTATATTTTTATCCTTTTAATTAATAATCAACATACTTATTATGTACAATTAATTTCTCTTTTCTTTTGCAAATTTATCAATAAAACCAATTTTAAATATTCAGCCTGGCTTGTATTTTTTGATCTGCGTTTTAGTGTTTTGGTGTTCGTTAGGTTAAGTTTGAACACACATCCACGATGAGTCACAGCCCGCACGCGTGGATCCCTCGGTCCTTGCAACTTAACAATTGCCTTGGAATGTTAATAGAATTTAATTAATGAAACAACTGTTACTTCTACATCTATTTATTGACTTGCCATGTGTACAAAAGGTATCATAAAATGTGATAATAAAACTAAACTACAGTCACAATGTTTCATAAAAAAATGGCAGTGGACGTGGCGGGCGTATGTCGATATTCTAGTAACATAAGAATTGACACAGTCCAATGGAAATGAACACAATACGCCTTATTGACTATGACCTATAAAATAAGCGATCTAATAATATAACAAACATAGTGTTGGTTGTACTTATTTTTCAATTGCGGCGCATCCCATGAGGTGAAACAAGGTCTAAAGCATAGATCGAGCTCACCATGAAATGCGTCTTGTTTTTCAAATAAATACATTATCTAAATGAATAATGTCTAAGATATAATAATACTGCGAGAATACTTAAGAAAAATGACATTGACTATTAAAAAAATGTTGCAATAGCAGAATGTAGGTACGTAACTGATTTTACCTGCGAGAGTACATACATAGCATATATCGGGTTATTTACTTGAATAGGTTTTATTACAAAATAGATAAGGAATATTCATCAAACTGATTACGCGTATATTGCTTTTGAACGCGGTACAAATGTTACCAAAACGATTCCCAGTGTCTGTTTAATGTTTTCCTGTTATTATTTTGTATAAAATTGTAATAATAGAATTACGTTTTTAACAGTGCTAACTACCTACATGTGTACGTGTTACATAGATATATATTACTACGCGTTAATGGTGGACAGGAAAATTTTAGGAGTTCAACGTTAAAGTTGGCTATCATGTATTATTAATAATTGTTAAGAAATATTTAGTATCGATCATCCGATTTCATTTGAAACTCGTAATGTTGTAATAAACCTTAATAAAATAATGGACTAGCAAAAATTTGACTAGATATAATAAACATAGTGGGAGTGTAGCAGCCGGGAGTAGCACCTACCGCATTTCGACCCACGTTTCATTCAATTTACATTATTAACGAGTACAGGACTGATTCTTCTGGGGTCAGCGAAGGTCACTGGCAACAATCATATTATCAACTTGCTATTTAGAAGTCTCAACACCACACAATATTCGGCATGAGAAAAGCTGAAGAACGAATATTTTAAATAAACTTTTCGACCAACTTTTTAACGCCAATAGCAGATAACGCTTATCGACCGTATCCTGTGTTGTATAAATAGCAATATTTCAGAAGACTATAGTCAAATATGTCAATGAAACAGCCCACGTTCATTATAATATTCCACTTGTTCTCCAAATAGGTATGTCTTTAATGTCAGAGGTGAAACATAATACGTAGGCGCTTGTTACTTGTGGGCTGCGACCCTTAACTAAATCTTTAAAATATTGAATTCTAACATACTTAATATTATGAGAAAGGATTAGGCCAATTACTTCTTCCAAGCGTGTGATAAGGACGGGAAGCGTGATATCCCATCGAGATACGGACGAGTTCGTTTAGCGCTGCTAAAATGCGTCCAACGACCCGAGTATGTAGACTAACCGATCAGTTTCACTTTCGATACAACGCCCACAAAATATTCGACACTAACATGCCAATACAGTTTATAATATGAAATTCTATTATTGGACTAAAATTTAGACCGCAAACACGACCAAATATTTGTATATAACATACATATATTAAGGTTACCAAATGAATAATAATCCCACCTTCTAATGCCCAAAAACTGTTTCGGTAACAATATTGAAATTCAAATATTTGAGCAATTTACGCTTATTGTAAATGCAGTGGCTAACAAAATGAGAATAGTTTCCAAGTTCCTAGAAATCAGCAACGAGGCGTCTAGTAACTGGTTTGCACAGCTGAGTCATTCATAAAAAAACATATCCGCCGTGTTTCCGGTTACTATGACCCTACGACATACATGACTCACTAAGTCGTAGTAAGATTTGTCATTAGTTGACGAATCAAAACAATGGGCATAGTATTCCAATAATTGTAGGTATGACGCTTGTGATATGTAGAGATGAAGATTCTTATAAGTGTCCATCAATGAATTTTTCACAATAGACGGGAGGAAAGGGTTTGAAATATGACATTAGAAGTAACTTTTGTGACGTCACAATTCGGAAACAAAAATAAATGACTCTTACTGTGATTAGCTGGTCGAGCAATGTAAAACAAAAGATGATTTTGTCATTTACCTCAAATGATATTAGTATTTTTATTAACCAATCCAGTTTTTTTTATATGCAGATAGGTGTTCTGATCTTCATACAATAGTATAGATATCTTATATTACTTTCTAACAAAACGTGCAGTGGGCCATTATTAAAGCACATCTAAAAACATTTTTAAAACTACTAAGGTTTTAAAACATTACAATACTTTGTAGGTATAAAATAAATGTTGTTTTAAAAAGATGATATAATTCATATGTAAAAGGAGATCATTTGACTAGTATTCAATGTGGATATTTACCATGACTTACATTGCCAAGAGCGATAATAATCCATCCACAATAAAGAATTTCGAGTTTAAAATTTGAAAGGTAGATTTACTACTGACACCGGTGCTAAAAGTTTTCGTTGACTTGAAAACTGGATTCGTTCTTGCTTTCCGATTTACTTGGTAGAATCATAGCTATCATTGAGAGGTGGTAGACTGTGAGCTAACGTTGTGTCGAGTTTTCGAGCCTCGTGCTCCAGCGTGTAGGAATCCAAGGCGGGGTCCTGGTCAGAAAATATTATATTAATCAAGGATCGAACATATATAAATTAATAAATAATATATAACAACTTCAAAACTAAAACATCACTTATTATTTTTGACACCTCTCAATAAGCACACATGAACGTAAGAATACGTATTGCCCATTGCCAAAGCAGTCACTTCGTGACCACGGCTGTTGCGTTGAGTCGTAATAAATTTATGTTTATTAATAGATTTCCCCTTTTAAACAGTTAAAACTGTAATTTAAAGGCTAATTAATGTTGAGTTAGCCTAAATTAGCTTGTTGTCTAGTCATAATAGCAAGCATTTACGTGTATTAATTTTATACATAATAATATTAACTTTATAATTTTTAAGAGTGTTCTTATATTTAATTATACCAAATACATACATATAGTATATTGTTTAACGTTTAACCAATGTCATATTTGGGTACGGTCTTACTTGTGAGACAGTACGCAGAGAATCCCCAAGTGCGGTGCGCAAGCGCTGCATATCCCTCGCGGCACGCCCACTGCGAGCCACATAAGACTGACGGCGACGAATTTCCGCTGACATCTGTGATCGAAGCTGGCTTATCTATTAAAAACAAAAAACATTGACTTAAAAAATACTACAGACTGAAAACGCCACTCTATTTACAATTTATAACTTTTTCATCGGTAACTTGAATAAAATTTTGATATTGCTACAACAAACTTTAGCAATATAAATAAAACACTAACAATTTATAACGTGAAATATATTAGCCTCCCCGTGACCACGGCTGCTGCGAAGCATCCGAAAGTCGGGCCGTAGTCAAAATAATGTTTACATAAGTTTAAATATATCTCGAATTTTAAACAGGTAAAATGTTTGTTTGTACTACTCGCGTATACTACAGACAGTATTTAGCAAATTTATAAAATAATTTACAAGCATCCTGGTTCCGATGGAAACCGAACCCATGCCCATTGTTTATAAACCATTAGAACCACCAGAAGAACAACAAGTTGCCGTTACTTATAAAATAAGAAATGTATATACTTGAGTCTCCAAGCGGATGATCTGTTGTCTATGGCTTGCCTCTCGTGCCTCCAGCAACCTCTCTGCCTGAAGGGCGGCTTGCTTGTACTGGTCCATGTCTTGTCTTGTACCAGTAGTCGACAGCTCGGACATGTAACGATTGCGGGCCATAGATAGTTCTGACTCCTAGTATGAAATGGAATAGTCAGAAAATAAAAAAAATATATCTAAAAACAGTTAATTATGACAGTCTACATTTTATACCTTGTCAGCTAATTCCTTCTCCAAGCGCCGTATCTTCATTCTCAGTTCTCGATTCTCCAATTCTAGTAGACTGAGTTCAGTGCCATAAGACGGCCCTTTATCTTTGCAAGGAATGTCTTTGTATTTATATATCTGAGACTCTTTGGACGAATCTGCACCTATGAATTTGTTAAATAGAGTTACATATAACATTTTAAGAAATCAAAATTTCAGAACGCAACGCTTGCAGCGCATGCGCAGGTGCCTTTTAAGGCGCAACGCGTCACTTTTTGTTTTATACATATTATTTAAATAACCTTTCCTTGATTATACTACAAATTCATTAGTTCTAAAGTTAGTAATGGGAATAAATAAAAGTGGGAACAACTTAAAATCTTAATCGTTAAAAACATTGCATTTCGTATGTAAAGTGGAAGCAACAATAGTGTCAGACAACACAGAGGTCTAATCGTCATGCTTTAAAACAGACATAGAAATGTGTTTGCCCTATGGATTTGCCCACTTATATAAAGTTTGCATTAAACAATGAGCTTACCAGAGTCTAAATCTGAGTAATACACGTTCTTATCAGTCCGGTCGTGACTCTTACTCCTCAACACTGAGGGTCTAGTCATTCTCCTCTCAGCCTCTAACTTCCTCACTGTGTCTTGTAATGCGTCAGTCTTCGCTTTAAGCTCGGACCTCTCTCTTTGTAATGCATGAAGCTCTCTTTCTAGCTCACTACTATCGCTCTCCTTTCCGTCCCATGTGGTCATGCGCAGTTGAGACTCTAAATCCGCTCTGTAAATAGAGTTTCATAATTGTAGCAAAAATATTAAAAACGAATAAATAAAACTACAGATTATGTAAAAAATATTAAGAATATAGGGGGGGTTTTTTGAAGTGTATTAGAATATTTTTGGCTAATCTGTCTGCCCGTTTGTAAAACATCAATGCTAGGGACTAATTCAAAATAATATTGACATTGTCTTTATATATTTATGTTAATACATTATACTTTAATAACAAACTTCCTTCATTAGTATTTTTATGATAGTGGACAGACAGAGATGAACCCCATCTTGTAGGGAATAACCCCAGCTATATAACACCTAAACAAGATACGCTGTCGCATTTTTATATTCAGCTTATTAAAGCTTAGCTTAGCTATTTACTACCTCTGAGCTTCAAGATTGGCCAGCTGATTTGTAAGGCGATGCACTTGGTCTTCAAGTTGACAATTCAGCCGCTTGAACTCGCTGGCGACCGCTTTAGCGCTTTCTAGTTTCTCTGAAAGGACTCTGCGTTCGTTTTCGCAATTTGCTGAAAAAATATTCAAGTGATTATTACAACAAATCTTTACGGGACGAAGTCACGCTTAATATTATTTTAAATGAAAATTTAAAAAATCTCACATTTAAATACTGTCTATAGTTTACGCGAATAGTACACATTTCAATAAAACACTTTTACGGTTTAAAACGCGATTTATTAGTTAAATTTATTTGAAAATGATTTTATCTAATATATCGGGTTTTAAACCGTCAAAGTGTTTTATTTCAATCTTACATTTGTTAGCTTTTTAATTGAGTTATTTATTCCCTTACCAATATTTTTCTGCATCTGTCTCAGCTTGTCCATAGCGTTGTTCTCGTTGTTCTTAGCTTCATTTAGCATACGCTGAGTCTTGCTTAACTCCGCCCTCAGTTCGGTTTCAGCTGCCGCAGCCTTTTGCAGTGAAGTGGATAGTTGCTCCACAGTTCCCTTGAGTGACGTGCACCTATCCTCCAAAGATGCTATCGTGCGGATGTAGCCATCACAACGGTCTTGTAGTTTCTGAAAATTATAAAATCATAAGTATATTCATTATGAACTCTTAGATTAGTGTTTTATTTCAACTTTGTTTAAATATAAGAATTCCTTTTTCACATGAGGTTTGCTGCAACCTACCTTAAGAGCTTGGTCCCTGTCTCTAGCAGCAACCGCGCTGCGTTGAACATCACCCTCCAATTGAGCACGACGTACATCCAAGCGTGAGGCTCGGCCTGACAAAAGAGAGGTTATGTTAATCAGTCTAGCGCTTTGAGCAGAGTAAATATTAGGAAAATACAGTGATCAGAAAGCTACAATATAATTTCGTGAATTGTTTTGTTTGTGAAACCCGAGTAAGGAATAACTATTTCAAACACGAATACTATTCTTCTTTTATTACTAATCAAAAGTATTATTTCTTCATTTGAAAAAGACAAATAATACATTTATATTACAGTAAACATTAAAACGACTGTCTATGTGAAATTTTGTTGTAAATAAAAATTTGTAGTATACCCTCAGCGGCAGCCAAAGCTTCTCTCAACTGTGCCACTTCTTGTATGCGATCCGCTAGCTGACCTCGAAGATTGTCAGATTTATTCTGAAATAATTGTTATTTAAAACCTGAAAAATCAGTTACTACTAGTTATAACTACTTCTCAATATATAAGAAAGTCGGAAATCTCTAACCTCGTTCTGAACCTTCTCTTCTGTGATGGAACTAAGAGTCGCTTCCAAACTGGTTATCTTATCCCGTAGATTGCTGACTTCCACCGTTTTTGTTTGCACGGACTCGTTCTGGAAATAGGGTTACTATTACTGATAATTTTTACTTATTATTACGATACATTAATATTAAACGACGGGCTCATTAGTATAATCGTAGCAAAATATGGCTAATAATCACCGTCTACAGATGAAGTCTAGTTTAATCGCCTTTCAGTTTCAGTCTGTGGATTTCAAGGGCAAAATAAATAGATAGCACATCTCGCTTAGATGTTATATGGCTGGGGGTTCCACCTACCAGCAAATGAGCTCTATGCTTGCTTGTCCTTCCCTATCATAAAAAAATATTTCTCCAACAGGATAATCACTGAATTCCTCACGTAACATCCTTCATTAGTTCATATTGATTTATTACAACAGCATTTTATATGTGACTTCCGTGGTCTAAGAAATTATACTAACCAAGGCATTAAGCTGTGCATCTCTCTGTCCTAAGGCAGCTTGAAGTTTCGAGCGCTCTTCTTGTACTCCGCGAAGGTTACTACTAACTGACTGTAGTTTGCCCTCACCTTTACCTAAAAGAAATGAAGTCCCTGATTTTAAAAACCGCCATTTAACTTTAGACTATGAGACGTAACGGTAATAACTTATATCTATACATGTTACGAAATAATTTAGTATATAGTAACTTACTGAGAACTGTTAAAGAAACAAAAAACAAATCTACCCAATACTTAAAACTAATTTAAACCATTACACCCACAGCGGCGTTAAAAAGATTTAATGATACAAAAGAAACTAAAATATGCCTCAACTGTTAACTAATACATCTCATATTTAAACCTTTAAAATGTTTTATTTAGCCTCACTAAACAGTTGAAACATATTTCTAAAAGTATTACTAGAATTTGTTATCAATTAATTTACCCGATTAGGAATAAATTGAAACATAGTGTGTCTCGCACAAATAAATTTCTTAAACCTAAATCCTGGGCTTCAACATGTAAAAGGCAATATACAAATATTCACACCTTGCTGTTCCGTCGCCTCCTTCAGCTGTTTCTTGAAAACGCTTACTTGCATTTTGTAGTCATCCTACATGATACATAACATATAATTAGTATACTAAGATAGTTAAATAAAAAATAACAGCATATAATAAATATTAGCGTTCTCTATAAGCTAGAAAGAGTCTCTTACCTTCTCCCGTTCAATTTGACACACTTCGTGCATAAGGTTCCGGACTCCTTTCTTGATCATCTCTGGATCAACATCTATTATCTCATTGCGGTCTTCAGAATGGTCGCGACCTATATAATACTTCATTTTAATCTTAAGATCTTTTATATAAAATGAAACGTTAAGGTAGTTTATTGTAAATCGTAAATCTTTTCTGATTTAAGTCCAAATAAAATTACACGAATAAAATTTAATTTAATTTAAAACAAAATCAAATAATGAATAATAATAATGCCTACAGCCTCAGCCATGGTTCCCTCACATATGTTTTTAATAACGATTTATTCGTTATTTTACTATCAACCCATTATACTGCAATACCAATCATTTAAAGCAAAATTTTTTATATAAAATACATCATACACTATACAAAATTAATAAAATCAAAATAAATAAATATATAACCACTAATTACAACTTGCGTGGTTTTTGTGTCAAGTTCATGAATCCTACCTCGATGTGGGCTGTATCTCCTAGCTGGGCTAGCGAGACGACGCCTAGCCGCCTGTTGCACAGATCCATCGGGCTGTATTCCGCAAACGCGTCGCAGCGAATGCGCAACCGAAGACAGACGCGCCTCGGCGTCGCGGCGACCTGCCTCGCTCTGAGTTAACGCTGCTTCCACAGCACGACAACGACCCTCACAACCGCCTAGTCGCGTCTGAGACAAATAAATATTTGTTTAAAGTAATATCAAGAAACGATACGTGATACACGAACAAGGAAAAAATATATATTCGTAAGTTTGCGTTAAAAGAATGTACAAACACACATATATATAAGAGGATTAAAATAATCAGCAGAAGATAAAATTTTTGTCAATTGGTCATCTACATGATAATGACTATGATGCATGGCATAAGTAAGGTAACCTTTGATACCTTTAACTCCTGAATCTGCTGAGTTGCGTCAGCTAAACAAACTTCCAGGTTATGTTTCAATTCCTCCAAACGACGCTCCTTTGATCGACAATCTTCTAAACGAAGCACTAATTCCTGAAATCAATTGAATTACTCGTATACAATACATCTATTATACGCCATAGGCACAAGAACGTTTCGAAGACTCGAAGGACCAAACATTGTTTATTTTTGAGCAAAAAATTATATGTAATGTTTATAGTTAAGTTAACATGTCTTTTAAGAATCTTTAATATTAGTACTGTTTACCTGATCCCTGGCGCGGCAAGCTTCTTCCAATTCAGCCGCTCGTTGTCTAAGGGCAGCGATATCTGCGCGTGCGGCTCCTAGCATGGCGTCTAATTCTGCCCCGTGACGCTTTGCAGTGCACGCTTCGTTCGCGACGCGTTCTCGCTCTTCGATCTCATTCTGTAATCTATTGTCCAAATAAGTCATTTGTTCGTTATTATTTATTTGCTAGGATGTTTTTTTTACACTAAACCGCCAAGAAACGTTTATTAAAAGATAAGCCAAGACAAAAACGGCAAAATTTAAAAAATAAAATGTAAATGGATCTAGAATAAGAAGTTACAATAACAATTTAGTTCTAATGTTCTTTAGATATTGAAGTAATAAGAACGCACAAACCTAGACTGCAATTCCTTAATATCGTGTTGAGCTTGTTCTAAAGCAGCTCTTTCTCGTTTCAACTGAGATTCAGTTGTACGAAGAGATCTGTCCACATGTTGACCACTCGTCTCAGACTCCTTCAACAATGTTTGTACACGGGACAATTCTAATTCGAGGGATGTACGGGTTTCTTCTAATCCTGTGAAAAGACAGTAAGAGTATTGTTAATTTTTACTTGTAAATTAACGGTTTCAAACGTGGTATATATTAAAATAAATAAAAAATATGTTAACTAATAATCATGTGCTTATCATTTTTTATGTATAATTCACTTTCTATACTATATCATTATTATTCAATAAAACACTTAACAAACTTAAGTAGCTTTTGCTTACGTCAGACCGTAGTAAAATAGGTTTAATAATATGTTTCGTGTTTGAAACCCTTTATAGATTTAATTTAAATGTGTACTACAAGCGTAACCTTCAGACATTCTCTGACTCATTTTGACAAGACTCGTACGTATATTTGAACTGTTTGCTTACCTGCAATCTTATGGTATGCTTCATCTCTATCCCTAGCTGCCTCCCTCCGTTCATGTTCAGATCTCTTGACGTGTTCTCGCAGTTCCTTACAAGCACTGTTATACTTGTCCCTCTCGGCCGTGCAGTTGCTGAGTTGACGACGCGTGTCTGCCAACTCTTTACGAAGACTTTCCGACTCGTTCTCCACTAAAATCATTAAAATTGCCCATTTTAAAAGTATCTGATACAATTTTTCACCCACTAGACATAAAAACTATCCTTAATATAATATTTGGGTCAGAAATGTGTATATTCAGAGGGGTTATAAAACGCTTATATAATATGAACAAACTTTACACACTAATGGTAAAATCTATCTCGCATATAATATTTTCCAATCTGTCGCGATTCAAGAATCGCAACGGGCATCCACATAACATATTATAAAATTTTTACGGGCAAGTAGTAACAATGTATGACTAACAATCAGCGGGACAAATATGTTTCTAATTAATAGAATTTTTCTGACATATGTTGGACTTCGTCTGGAAATTTGGATATTAAATAGCAAGTAGAAATATCTACAATTACGTGCGGGTCACAAACTACCGTTCTAAAATGAAAAAGGCTTAAAGTTTGAAACGTTTCGGTTGCAGTCTGTGGTTTTCCTAACAAAAAAAGCTAAAATAGGTCGATAGCGCGTCATGATGTTATGGGGTTTTTCGCAAGTGAATCCTCATGCTCTATCACAAAAAAATAATACTTACATTCCTTCAACTTGCGAATCGTGTCTTGCAACTGCACGTACGCCGCGTCATATTTGTCCTCAGCCAAGGATAGCTGCGCCCGCGTCTCCTGGCACTCACGATTGAGAGCTTCTTTTTCCAAATGCAATTCTTTGATTCGATTTTCGAATCTTGCGCAATCATCTTCGGCTGCAGCTCTGTAATAAGAGAATATAAATGAATGACTTTAATACGATCTATTGTCTGTAGTTTTTGCGAGTAGTAAGCATTTAATCAAAAGCACTTTAAATTTACAAATAGTTATTTTTTCACTACAACCCGACGTAAACTAATGTTTAATAACAATAATTAAAAAAAAAAATTAACCAATATATTTTGTGTTTTAAACCGTTACAAGGGTTTTATTGAATAATGACGATCTATTATAGCAATGTATATCGATATTTAAGGTACAATAAATAATTGAATACAGAATGGCATATTAACGTATAGTGCAATTGACAACGTAAGGGTCATTTTTAATAATAAGCACATTTTAAAGATTATTATTATTATTTTAGTTTAAAAGCACATAAGGAATTTGTTTTTCATTAACAGTTTTTATCTAAGATATAGAATGTGCATTAATAATTGATAATATTATCGCATATGTAAAATTCATGATAAAAACTCACTTGGCTTCCTCAAGTCTGGTCTTTAGAGCTGACAGATCATCCTTTAGCTGGTTGATATATGTCCTGTCCTGGTCAGATCTTGCCTGGGCATCCCTCTTCACGCGTTCAAGCTTATTTTGCTCGCAGTCCAATATACGTTTCGCCTCTTCTAAACGTTCAAGTAAAGCCTGGTGCTCTTGGTGTGCTGTGAAATTTATTTAGATGGTTGATCGGCGCCAAAAAACTGTCACCTTTATAGACCTAATTCTACTACAGTTATTATTATTTAAAAAAATATGAAAGACGTAGTTTCATGAAGTTTACGCGAGTAGTACACATTCATATAAAACACTTTAACGGTTTAAAACGCGATATATATTCGTTAAACTTACTTGAAAATTATTTAGAGAGATTATGTAGACTCCCCGGACCATGGCTACTGTTAACATAAATTGTCAGTTACCAATTAAGTTAACTAATATATATCGCGTTTTAAACCGTTAAAGTGCTTTCAAAAATATTTATTGCATATATTCGTAACTTATTTAGAAACTACAGCCACGTCGTAACCAATTGTTTGTTAGAGTAATATAAGAATTGTTTGTAGTTAAAACAAAGCAGAAGAGAATTTGTAACCAATTATAATAATTGTGAGTTCGTACCTATTCGCATTTAGTATTATGTACTGTATATTATTGTGCTCATGCTTAAGTGAATTTGTTTTAAAACACATCTACATATTCTGTGTAAGTAAAATCTTATAAAATCTCTGAAAATATAATAGTGTCTTACCCATAAGTAAAGCCTGCTGTTTATCATTTTCCGCTCTGAGCATAGCTTCGTCGTGCTGCATTATCAGCTGATCTCGCATCGCAAGTAGTTTTTTCTCTCTTTCTCGCGCATTGGCCTCCAGTACTTCTTTCTCGCTCGTTAGGCCCGCTATGGTTTGGCTAAGTTTTTGCTCAAGGACTTGTCGTAATTGTTCCTATAATAAAAATGTCTATTTTGTATATGCGATGACATAATATTGTAAAAAAACGCATAAAGAATTATTAATAAGGTATTTAATTTGAATTTTTCTTAACGCATAAAATACATTATACAATTTATTATTAGTATATAAGTTAAAATAAAAACAGCTATAGCGATAAAACTATAATAATCAAACAAATAACACCACTGTTATTTATAGAAATTAATATTATATTAGTACTAATTGTTTAAAAAATAACCGTAAAACATGTTTATTGCCTAGCATTACTTTGGCTCACCTTTTCTTCTTTAAGTTTAGTGATATTCTCAGTTGTAGTCCGGTTAAGGTTGGTAATGACTTGTTGATACTCCGCTTCTTTCTTGCCACTCTGCTGTTGCATACTGTTTCTTGTTTCGCGAAGCTTCTTCTCGCTCGACTCAAGGTCTTTCGTTAAACGTGATATTTGACCTACGATACGATTTGTTTTTAGATAAATAAAAATATTTGTATACTAGGCATAATTTCTTTTAGTATGATTTAGTTAGGTGGGGTATAATGAGTGTCTTTCTAGTCTGTAAATAAAATCTTATAGTGAAACGGACACAAAATTGTATCTGCCTTGAATAGCAAATGAAAAATCTATTACTATAAAAAAAATCCGACACTGCCAAGACTTATACCGGCATTCACAGCGCTGCATGCTGTTGCTCAAGCCAATTGATAATCAGAACACGATAAAAATAAAATACAATAAAAATAGCGGTAGCTCAATTGATTAGAGGAACAGCACTAACAAATTGAGATACAGTACCGTTGTTGATTGAATTCAAAATGCCGCCCGATTTTTGTCAGCCCAGTTTTTGCCATCATGTGAAAAAAATAAAGTCTTTAAATCGCTTGTAAGCAAATTCTTAAATTACCTTTAAAGTTTTCCTGCTGTACAAGCGTTTCCTGCAAGTCATGTTCGAGTTTACTCCGTCTGTTCTCGGCATCTTCCAACATATTGGCCGTGTCGAAAAGCACTGCTTCCAGGGCGTCTTTCTCTGAACGAACACTCGCCAACTGCTCTTGTAAATGCTGCTTGTCTTTGTCCAGACTGTCTATTAGTATCTAAGAAAAGAAGATTTTATTGTTTTGATATAACATCTAATATTTGGCTTTAGATTCTTAGAAATCCACAGACTGGAACGCGATTAAACTTCACGGCTTTTCATCTGTGGACGGCGGTTCGTCAGAATTTCGATATTCCTACCACCCATGTAATATCCAGAATTCCAGACGAAGTGCAACATGTTTCAGAAAAATTATAAATTGATTAGAAAAATGTTGGACCCGATGGGGATTGAAGCAACGACCCGTTAATTGGTAGCCAGATACCACCATTATTATACCAACGAGCCTGTCAGCATAGTGCTAAAACTTGTATAAAATCTTAAGAAAATCATTCAAAGCCGCCATTTTAGTTCTATAGAATTAGACTAGAAGCCTGAAATTCATTTTTATCATTACTTGCTAACTATAATATTTGGAGAGCAAATTAAATAATTAACTAAGAATTTGACAACATAACATATACATTAATGATTATTTCAGTAAATCGTTTTTATAGCCTACGGTACCCCAACAGAAAATAAAAGTTATACACACACGTGTATAGACTAATGATAATGTAATCAAATTTAAATACATATCAACTTAACGTACCTATCAATTTATACATAACAAACCTGTTTCTCCTCTCCGTCCTTAACGTGATCGTCAATAGATCTGTTCAAACGACCGATAGTTTCATTCGCCTGTTCCAATCTCTGTTGTAAACGGATTATTTCTTCGTTCAGGGTATCTTTCTTTCGCGCCATCGCTGTTAACTGTGAACTTAGTTCACCTCGCTCCCTGAAAAGTAGTTTATTCAACTAAATTGTATATACATTATTTAATAATGTATTTTAAGAACATTTATGGTCATATATAATATATCTGGACAGATATATATATATATATAAAAAAACCGGAAACGTCTGGTCGCTTGTAAAAAAATATATTTTGTGATATACCAGTAAGTATTTAATAATTTGATATTTTGCAAGTTAACACACCCACCTGACAACTTGTCTTAACTCCATCTCCACTTTCTCCCTCTCTCCGTCTAAGAATTTAATCTTCTCATGCAACGTTGCCTTATCCGCCTCCAATTCCATACGATGCTGTTCAGCTGCTAGCAACTCTTTCCGCAAAGAGTTCAAGTCACCTTGAAGATCGGACGATTGGTTCGACAGAGATGATTTCTCATCTTCCAACTATAAAATAATTCATTAATAAACTTAATAAGTGTTGTCTGTAGTTGACACAAGTAGTATACATTTAAATAAAACACTTTGCAACGGTTTCATACATCAGGCCGTGGCTAATATAAATTATAAATAAGTTAACTACAATATTTCGCGTTTTAAACTGTATAAAAGAGTTTTAATCCATAAACTAAATGTTTTTTACATATTGTGTGCACAATATTTGTATGTATGACATTTAATAACTGTATGTAACAATGTGTGTGTGTGTTAACAGTTTGATTCGGACACTGACATGTGTCCGTCCTATGCCCCACGGGGGGAAATGGCATTTTACTTAACGTATGATTACACTATTATTAAATGATTGTGGTATAAACAACCTACATGTTTTACATCCTCCATAAGTTTTTTCTTATCACTCTCGAGATTCCTCACGAGCGATTGAAGCTTCTCTATCAAATCTTGCAAATCTCCGCGCTCCAACAGCGTTCTTTCTAGTTCTATTTCCAATTCACCTTACAAAACAAAACTAGGTTACACATCGATAATTTTCGCAAACATTTTGCTGTTTTATATATTTCTTGGTTTCGTACCCACGTTAGTAACTGGTTGAGTCAAGTATTACCAATACAAAATATAACGTTGCGGTATATTAAATGGTAAACAACTCACTTCTATTCTTCTCCATCTGCGATAAAATAGCATCTGCTTCTAATTTTTGTTGGTCAAGTAGATCCCTGGCAAGCGCAGTTTTGTTGAGTTCTTCCCTTATGGTTACCAACTCAGAACGTAGGCGGGAGGAGCGCTCTTCTTCCGTTCTATAAAGTAAGAAAAAAATATAGAGATCCCAAAGATCTATAATTTCCCCCGTTTTTCCATATTACCCCCTGTTTCTTCGCTCCTATTAATCGCAGCATAATGTATTACAGTTTAAAGCCTTCCTCGATAGAAGGTTCAATCAGCACAAAAATATTTTTTTATTCGAACTAGTAATTCCTAAGATTAGTGCGATCAAGCGAACTCTCAGCTTCCTTAATATAGATTTAAATAAAACACTTTTAACAGTTTAAAATGCAAAATATATTTTAGTTTTTTTACAATTTGACTCCCCCGCACGAAACGTCGAGCTGTAGTAAAAATGAATTGTGTGTGGTAACGAATATATTTTGCGTTTCAAACCGTTTAAAGTATTTTATTATAATATCACTATTGGTTGCTCAATGACCTGATATATAACTTCTACATCGCAGATAAGATTGTGGTACCCTGTTAACAAGTACAAAATTATTACCGTAATACTGAGTCCCTGCTTGTCAGTTCTCTATGTAAGTGATCAACTTCACTGTTGAGCGATCTCTTCTCATTCTCTAGTGTTTCGATTGTTTTCTCTAATCTTCCGTTAACTTTCTGTAGCTTTTCATAGTCTGATGTAAGAGATTCCACCTGTTGAATAAATGGGTCTTTATTTGCTCGCAGATGACTTATCATTCGTTCTATATATTATAGGAAAATAAAGTTAAAGAAGATAGTAGTATGGAATATTTTGTAACAGTATTTGGCTCAGTCTGATAAATAATAGAATATCCTAGAGCACATGTTACGCAATACATAACAGCATACATTACAAGATTTACATGCAGTAACATCTAAAACCTTCGAGCTAAAATGTTCTATAAAAATCTCTTAGCGAACATAACAAGACGATTAGTGAAACAACAAGATAAGTAAATGCAAAGTGCATCACTAATTATCGTAATTGGATGATAACATTGTAGATTTAATGAAGATTGTAAACGATAATGTTAAACATTTGTGATATTTGACAAACAATACGTAATAAATAATATAACTATGAAAAAAAATATTTACCATGGCATTAATTTCCACTCTATTCCTCTCCAGATTATTTTTATCGATCCTCAAGGCCTCGACTGTCTTCTGTAGCGACTCACGCTCTTGCACCACTTGGTTTAAGTCCACATTCGTTTGGTCCAACTTTCCTGAAAAAAATATAACAATCATAGTGAAGAGTTAAATATATAACCGATATAAATGAAAAAATGCTCATAAAAAGCATATGAGAAAAGTTTTATAATACGCCTCAGTAGCTTATAAATGATAAGGCAATACCAAAAATTTTATAAAAGCCAGATGTCCTGGATTCGAATTCTGGAAAAAATGGTAACAGAGTCACAGACGAAAGAGGCATTACCAACTATGTGAAACAAAACTGTCTGCACCATGGCCTATATAGGAAAAATGGGACTTTTATAATACCTTGTAAATCTTGAACTTTATTCTCCAAAGAAGCTACATGGGCATCAGCCGTTTCTGAATGTTTACGACAAGTCACCAACTGCTCTCTCGTGTTTTGAAGTTTCACCTATTTACAAATTTCGATAAATTTTATGTCAATGGAAATGGAAGAAGAAAATTTTACGGCACAGGAGGAGCTCGAACCTACGACCAAGCGGTAGAGTTTTCAAAAGCATAGTTAACATTTAAATAAAACACGAAAATGATTTTTAACTTCGGCCCGACGTTTCGGATGCTTTGCAGCAGCCGTGGTCACGGGGAGACAACTGTTAGTTCAAATAAGTTTAACTAATATATCGCGTTTTAAACCGTCAAAGTGTTTTATTTAAATCTGTACTACTCGCGAAAACTATAGATAGTCTTTACTATAAATTTCTTGTATGAAATTGAAAGATAAAAATATATTTATGTATATATTGTTAGCCGTCTACTTATTCTAAGTAGGTCCTAAGTAAGATTATATTTTTGCTTTTTTTATTAAACACCTAAGTTCTTAACTTGCCTGTAAGTCGTGAATCTGTATCTGATACTTGTGTAAGGCGGCTTGCAATGCAGAAATGGTGCTTTCAGCAAAGGCCGTAGGATTCGTAGACTGGGACACCCCGCGTTTTGGCGATCTAATTTATTGCAATAAGTAAATAAACAGACACAAATATATCAATCATTAATGAAGAATTAACATGACGATTTAATCTTAGGCTAATGATCAAAATAAAGAAACAAATGAACATGAAGTAAATAACCATTTCCAAATGTCCATAACCAAAGTAAGTTGGCGGCGCACGTTTAATATATGGCTTAGGTAGTTCACCTTCCATCAACCCAATTCTTACCTGTCCAAAAATCTCTCACTTTTACCAACCGCATAACAAGTGAAATAGTTATTTAATCATAATATCTATTTTGTTCAAAAGTCAATGTTATATATATTAGTAACGAAAATACCTATCGCTCAAATGCAGGTGTGAAGGTGGAGCGTCTGTTTCAGAATCTTGAATGAGAGCGCGGGCTACCTCTTCTAGAGCGGAACGCATGATGCCTGCCTCCGAACACAATGTCTCCGCGCATTCGCAACGTTCTTCCTGTTGGTATTTACAATATAATGTAGTTACTTTTTATCTTTAAAGACCTTAGTTTCAAAGCAAATAATTTATTATTATCAAAAATTAATTTATTCTAGATGAGCTTTAAAATAACTTTGTTTGGTGACTGTACTTAATATGTATCTAAAAATCTCACCAAACCCTGTAGTTCTTGAAGCAACCGCTGTATGCGTGCATCTCTTTCTTTGAGTTCTGCGAGAGCACTGTCCCTTTGCGTTGTAGCAGTATGCAAATCTGACCGAAGATTTTCTAGCGCTGAAGTTGGCATTTGACCAGTAGGACCATGAGATGATTGAAATTCTGGCTGAAAAAAATTTTGGACCTTGATTTTCTCTTAAATATAACCTGATTAATTTGTAAGCCATGTTTATTTTATAATTATGGTTAACAAAACTAAATAAAAATATATATAAAATTAGTAAGGCACATTTAATTAATTATAACAATTTTATTATTTAAATTATTTAATTTAATTAAATATTTTTTTTCTAATGCATTATATCTTTAGAAAATTGGATTATTTTTTGAACACATATAGCAATATATAAAACTATTCAATGATATAATATATTGAAACATTTCAATGACTCGGACGGGACTTTACTATCCTCAAAGTTCTGTGCTGCTACTCTAACAAATTGAGTTATTGTTTTAGAGCTGTAACTTAATTGGTTAAAACTAGCAGGGCAGAATACTATGAATACAGATTTAAGTCCCACCTGTATCATAGAATTAACTGATTTATGAAGTTTAGTAAACATTTACCTTACTGACGTCATGATTAGCATATGCAGTTATAGCGTATCCGCTCAGTGTACCAACAAGATCTCTAGCAGCAGAGTCAATATCGTTTTTTACTTTGTATAGATCTCGTTCAGTACTGGTCTGGAGTTCCGAGAAAAATCTCTTGACAGATACAACTTCACGCCATAGATTCAAAAGACGATTGTGCTCGTTAGAATAATAGTCATTGAATGCCTAAAAAAATATACATTGTAGATAACTTGTTTTAAAATTTTTTAGTCATATGCATGAATCCAATTGTGTCTTGTCCAATTATTTAAATAAACTTTGTTGATTAAAATACATTGTCCTTATATTGGGTAAGATAAAGTGGCTGCCTATAAATACATAGCAAGCCAAGTAATTTTTATAAAAAAAACAAATTTACAACTATTTTACTGTGCAAAATACCTGCTCTTCATCCTTCCATTCGTCTTCCTTGATGGCCATTTCATCACGAAGAGCTTCCCAATCATTTGTAAGTTTTTGCAGATCATTAGTTAAAGCCTCATTTAGCTGGTGTGACTCCTCCAACTGGTCTCGGAGCAAGTTATTTTGGGATACAAGCTTCTCACATCTAGAAATAAAATATGATCACGATTGTGTTTATAGGCTACTGATACATTTAAGTTTTAAGATAAGTTTGTTTGAATGACTTTATGTTTAAAAATAACCTGCTATTCATTGATTGGGGTATGTTATGCGTCTAGCAGATGCTATCTAGAAAGCTATACGATTCTTTTTATGTCATAAAATATTTATATTTAACGTTACTAAATAATATGTACACTGTTCTTACTTGCGCTTCTCTTCGTCTAGTCTCCTTAAGGCGGTTTCCAGGTCGTTGATTCGTTCATCCCTTCGCGTATCAGAAGATGGTGTGGTTACAGATGGTAGAGCTATAGCTTTTCCAGCAGTAGATGTAGGCCGGTAAGTTGTGTCACTACGGGGAGTAGTTTCCAGCATTTGATTCTCCAGTTCCGAACATCTTTGCTTGTATTGTAATACCTATTTAAAACCCTTATAATTTCAGTAATATTTTCCATATTAATCCCTCACTAAAACTTAACTTTTTGAAGTGTAAACGTCGAAGATGTAAAAATGTAAATAAACTCGCAAAACAAAACAAATATAAGAAGTAAGAAAACACCTGCAGGGAAACGTCACTGTCAAATAAAAAAGTAATATCCACGACATTTGTGGCCACAGACAAGAAATCAAAGATTAAAAATAAATTACACGTAATATAATATTCCCGAACATCTGTTTTTGTTAAAAGTAATACCTAACTATTTAAGTTATAAATAATAAGCGACTTTACTTTTGCTTGTAAGCGTGAAACCAGTGCAGCTTGGCCTTGCTGTGCCCGACGATATGCATCAAGTCTCCGCTTATGATCAGCACTTTCCCCAGCAAGACGAGCGCGAAGTTCTTCATTTTGCCGCCTCAAATCACTGCTTACACTTCCGACAGGAGAATCCATTTCCGGTGGGCTCTCGGACTTCTAAATGAAAAGAAAAATTAATAAGTATAAATGAATAATATGTATTTTAGCCTAGGTTTTCGGAATCATGTTATTAAAAACACATTGCGCCACTTTTATTGCTTAGAAAATGTGTTATTCCAAGGGTGTAGTTAGTAAAAATAAAGTAATGGTTACTTCATGCGGTCTTAAATTAGTATATATTAATGTTAAAATTGCATTTCACAAGTTCAAAGTAATATAAATAAATAAATAGATATCGCTTAATTACTTATCGCAACTTATGAGAGTTAGTTAACCTTCAAAATTTTATTCATAAGCCATGTAACCTTTTTTATAGAACTATAAACTTACCTCCTTTTTGCGTTGATGTGGAAGCGAACTCGGTGGCCTTCGACCGATAGGAGCACGAGCGCTCCGAGGAGTTGTCAAACCTTCCCGCGTTGGCAACTGCAACAAAAAATAAAATAAAATCCCCTTAGATCCATAGATACTCGTAGCTTATAATAGTTTTGCACCTGAAATAGAACTTTTTTCTTTTTGCATTTCTTTTTATGTTTAACTTCGAAATAAATATGCCGGACTGATTTAAACTCAAACTCCATTAGATACTAAATTACAATGCAAACACGAAAGATGTTATCGTTAAATTTATCTACTAATGAACCGCGAAAATGTAAAGAAACTAGGTTGAAAGAAAATAAGCTATTTCTTATTTTAGAGAATGCACTGAATAAACCACAAACAAGCCGCGTTGGTTTCCATGGGGTGGAAATACTGAATATCTCGGTCTAGCATCTAATTACCACCCGATTGCAATTATAATATTGTTGTTTCTAAAACTACCGCTGTCTCCCTCCGAAAATCATTAAGAACCATAACTGACGTAATGAAGTAATAAATATTTGTCATTAAAAGATTGAAGTTAGTATTTTCTTCATTCATATTATGCTAAGAACTATGAAAAAATTTAAACATTAAGTTATTTTTTAACCCTTTAAAATGATTGATTTAAACTACAGACAGCACTAACGCCAATACAAAATTCAGTCACACTAAAACTTAATCAATTAAACGAAACTTCTGGTTCCTTATAACGTTTCATTTTTCAGATTTTTTTTATTCAGCATTAATATTAATTTTAATGTTTTAATGATCCTGGAATCGATTACAAAAATTGTATTACACTCTTATTCTTTTTTTAATAAATATTTGACTTACATCATCATTTATTTTAAGGCATATCTTAAACCACTTAGTATTTTAAGAGTAGTATTAAAGCTTTTAATAATTCTTCGTGAAAGGTTTTATTAAACCAAGGATTACAAATTTTGTTTACAGGTTAACGAGCCTATTAGATGCTATTAGTAAACAATGATTTACGTATACCTACCGTAACTTAGCAACGAAAGGGGCATGGCACATACTGAAAATCTATAATCGCAAATTGAAAAATGTTTGGAGATGTAACTGATTACAGTTAATATGGAAAATATTTCACAATAATATAATATTCATATTGTGGATTTACGAAACAAGAATAAAAAGCTCGAGTCTAAATTTTAAAACTATTGCTTTTTAGATGACACTTAGGTTAAGTTTTTTATCACTTTTACAGACTGATCAGCTTTCTTTATCACTTCCGGCTAATTCAATGGTTTACTTGATGGTAAGGGAAATTTAGGTGGTATCCTTATGGCTGGGTATCGGGTGGCTTTGGGTATTCGTAACTTAAGAAATGGTATTAAACTTAAATGTGGAGTATACATTCAAAAGTTTAGTGGCTACACTGTTATCTATACGAACAAACGAGTTTTTTTCTTTTCTTTATTTTGACCCCGGATATATAAGTAGGTAGTTTTTAATATTAAGAATAGCGCACATAATTAAAAAGCTGTCTAAGATTTAAGGTCAAATATAATAAACGTTGTTACGTTATTTACGACGCAATCTTAATTCTTCCAACCTTCGGTACCTTAAATGTGTATGACTTTTCCACTCTTACCTATAACTAATTCTGCTTAAAACCCTCCATCAGTAAGTATGAGAGTGCACTCCACTGATATATGACGCCTAATACAAAATTATTGATCTTTTGGATTTCCAACATTTGTTGAATCAATATATTTCTTCTGCATTTTTTCTACAAACACTGAATGTGTTATATGCAAGAGTGACACTAGACTGATAGTGTTATACTAAGTTTGGGGTAACGTTCCGTATCAATGAACACCCTACAATGTTAGGGGAGTTTTTGAACAGGTAAAAGCTTGTTATCGAGGATTTGATAACGATAAAGTACAGCATAATGGACAAAATCATTGAATTACTATAAAACGATAGGAATTTTACATACTTAAAAAAAATATTATGTAAATTATTCATCTAATAGGCCTCGTAAATAAAAAAAGTTTTTTTTATTTATTGGTGACAAGGTACACTTATGAACGTCAAACTAGTTAAAAAGTAAACACTCTAAATTTACATTGACTGCTAAAGCCCAGGAGCGTAGGACGAATGAGAAAATTTCTCAAAAAACTCGCCGACAGTCCTTTCATCGCTATAGTTTCATTTTACATTTGTTATTTCTAAAATACATATTTTTTCTTGTTAGAGCGAGTTCCTTCAAAACTCAAGCATGTGTAGTTTTTAAGTATTGATTTACGCCATAATAAACTTTTCCAAGCAGTTTATATTTTACATATATCTGTAATTTATTAATTGTCCATTGACAGTGCGATTAGTGTTCAATTTATGAAGCCATTTAAGAAGACCCGATATAATTTAAAAATCGAAAACAAATTGAAAAAGTTTTTGACTGAGACAGAACTTAAAACGGCATCGTCAGCGTTCTGTGCTGTTGCAAGATGTAAAAAATTATAACGTTTTCAAAGACCCGATATATTTACCGCTGTATTTAATAATCTGCTTTATTTGTTTTGATGTACCGCTAAGCAACAACTGGACATAGGTTTTTTATTTTATAGGAGGAAGGTTTTTAGATCTTGTGGCTAATATATGATAACAATGACCGACGGTTTATGATTCTCTCTGAGGTACGAAAGTGAAGTCACCTCCTAATACAAAATCCAAACAAGTGCTAGAACTTTAGCATAATTCTAACATTGCGCGATCTGGCATTCGAACCCAGGACCTCCTGTTATGTAAACGCTATTGGTTATTCTAAAGTATGGTCACAGAAATAAGTTGTTGTGCTAAACGTTATCTTAGTAGTAGCAACTGACTGAGATGAGACGTCATACTTATAGTCAAGACGAGATTGGCGAGAAGTCATTGACCGATATGACGATGTGCGTGATAAGCAGATAGAGTAGCCATATATTGTAATCTGTAGACTGTTGTTATTCTATTTGATTTTGTGTCGTATATCATTCTAGAAAGACCTAGCCTACTGCTGCTATTCTTATTTACACAAAACATATAAACATCTTAGAATTTATTATTATTATTATTACTATTTTTTGACACAAGTATTGGGTTCACCCGATGAAAGGTGATATATATATATATATATCATCTATATAACATCTTGGCAACATGCGCTGTCACCTATTGGAACTTAGGATTTTTGGAAATCCAAAGACTGGAATCGAAATACGATTAAACTTAAGGGCATTTTCATCTGTGTAACTTTGTATGTGACCCGGACCGATTTTGTAAATCGATTTGAATTAAACAATGCCTACTTATTGTCCCGAAATAGCCAATTCGTCAAGACCAGAAGATGCTACTTTCCCAAATATATTAATAGCAAACTGTTTGGAACTGTTGCTAATGCTTTATAATACGATGGATCTATAATTCCGTGACATACCCAGTCGAAACAAATTATTTTTTTACCCAGTATTCGAATCCAGAACTATTTGCTAGATTGCTAGCCAACCCTAAAACCGTTGAGTAACCAAAGCGTTATTGTTATACTATAGTATGCAAAATATCAACAGTAGCCGGTAATAAAAAAAACTATATAAAATCAAAGATTAAATACTATCTATAGTTTACGCGAGTAGTACACATTTAAATAAAAAACTTAAAACGCGATATATTCTTCCCGTAACCACGGCTGCTGCAACGTCCAACACGGCCATTTAAAATAATTTTCAAATAAGTTTAACTAATATATCGCGGTTTTAAACCGTTAGTGTTTTATTTAAAAATCAAAGATGTCAATTCTGAACAATCGGACGAAACGTATTCCTTATATGGTTCTTACCACGATTTATAGCCATGATAGCAACAAGTAAAATTGATAAAAAAATATTTTAAAAACAATTTCTCGCGAAGGTCACTGGCTCAGATAAACGTTGCACTGTTATCAAAAATATGTAAGTGCATTCAGCTTCAGTTATCTACTGTAGTTCAATAGTACATAAATGTATTTTTAGTGCTTATCTTTACTTTTACTTTTCAATTATTACTAAATACATAAGTAATAACTATATTATTGCACATTAGATACTAATTATTATTGAATTATATACAGATCGCTCAGGTTTTTTATATACAGATCGTCAGGTCGGGTTAGGTTTGAATTCCGGGATAACCTATTAATAAATGTTGTCTAGCCAGGACATAGATGTCCTTAATGAAGCAAAAAAAGGAATTTGCTCTATGATCCGCCTGAGACAGTTGTTACATTTGTGACAGTTAATTATAAAACCCCGCCACAGATATTTTATACTTTTAAAGGGTTTCCACAGATACTTAATATTTCTTATGTATTGATATTTCTAAAAATATAAATGAATACGTTATTAGAATTTGCAACAAACAAGGATGTAACGATTGCAGATAAAGGAATTTTTCACAAATAAAAATTGATTTATCGTGGATTATACGCATTTGTTGCTAACTGATTTAAATGTGTTTATTACGATAACCGATTGAGTAAAAAACATCTCGCGGTCATTGACATTGTAATATCTTATCACTTGTTATTTTATAAGGAATAGCAAATAAAATTTGACACTGAAGAAAATGTTGGGATTTACGAGTAATTGATTATTTAGATTTGATTTACAATTTCCGTTGACCACGTTGCCTAAAATGTTGATGAGATATCCGGGGTCAAGTCATGAGAACCTGAGAAAATATATACTTTCATTTAGACACGCCAGAAACGTTTCCGTTAATAAAATCGATCAGTAAAAACGACTAATAATGTGTCTATTTAAAAATTTGGACTTTCACTTTACCTTAAAACTTTATTGAAGTAAAAACAGGTAAAGTTATTAAATGCTATTTATGAATATAGATCAAACAACATTAAAAAATACTTAAATAAAAGCTTGGACATTTTTTTATATTATTATAACTTTGTTGATGTGCTGTAGACCTAATCCTAAGTTAAATTATCAAATAAAAATAATTAGTATAACTACAGTAATATATATCATTAAACAATTATAATAAGAAATCAGCATAAAAGG